TACAACAGCTCTGAAGCCTGTCCTGTCCTGAATCAGTCTCACTGACTCCAACATACCAACCTCAATTGTCCTAGTTACTGTATCAATCTGATCACAACTGTTCCTTCTCCTTTGTGTAGCAAACCAGTGTGGTTGTTTTTAGGTGCCATCGAGTTGAGTACCACTCATAGTGACTCTATGAACAAAAGATCAGAACCTAGTCCTGTCCTGTGCCATCCTCACACTTCCTGACACAGATGAACCCATTGCAGCAGTCACCATGTCAATCCACCTGGTTGAGGGTCTTCCTCTCTTTTGCCAACCCTCCACCCTTCCCAACATCATATCCCTCTCCAAGGAACGGCACCTCCTAGCCGTGAAGTGAAGACTCACATTCTTGCTCCACCCTCTCCAAGATGTATCTGTTTTTTCTCTTGGCTGTCCATGGGGTGTTCAGTGCTCTTCTCCAACACCACAGCTCAAAGGCATAAATTCTTTTTCTGTCATCCTTTTTCATTGTCCATGTCTCTGATACATAGCTAGTAATTGGAAAGACTATGGCCTGAATCAGACACACCTTAGTCCTCAAACTGACAGCACTACTCCTCAATAATTTGGAAAGGTCCCTAAATGCAGATTTTCCCAGCACATTGCATCTCCTTATTTCCTGACTGCTGGTACCAAGGGTGTTAATCATGGATCCAATCAAGATGAAGCTGTTGACAGTTTCATTCTCTTCTCCAACCATCATGACATTGCCTATCAGTCCAGTGGTAAGAATCCTTGTTTTTTTTTTTATATTGAGATGCAATCCATACTGAAGGCATTGATCTGCAACAAGTGCTTCAAGTCATCCTCACTTGTAGCAAGCAAGGTTGTGTCATCTGCATAATGCAGATTATTGATGAATATTCCTACAATCCTGATGCCACATTCCTCTTCATAGAATCTAGCTTCTTGGATAACTTGCTTAGCATATATACTGAACAGGTATGGAGATAGAACACAACCCTTATGCACTCCTTTCTCAATTCCAAACCATGCAGTGC